GGGAATTCGAAAACGTGATCAGTTACAACCAGGAATTCGAAAACGTGATCAGTTCCCACCGGGAATTCGAAAACGTGATCAGTTCCCACCGAGAATTCGAAAACGTGATCAGTTACAACCAGGAATTCGAAAACGTGATCAGTTACAACCAGGAATTTGAAAACGTGATCAGTTCCCACCGGGAATTCGAAAACGTGATCAGTTCCCATCGGGAATTCGAAAACGAGTTCAGTTACAACCAGGAATTCGAAAATGTGACCAGTTACAACCAGGAATTCGAAAATGTGACCAGTTACAACCAGGAATTAGAAAACGTGATCAGTTCCCACCGAGAATTCGAAAACGTGATCAGTTCCTATCGGGAATTCGAAAACGTGATCAGTTCCCACCGGGAATTCGAAAACGCAACTAATTACAACCAGGAATTAGAAAACGTGATCAGATCCTATCGGGAATTAGAAAACGTGATCAGTTCCCATCGGGAATTCGAAAACGTGATCAGTTGCTATCGGGAATTCGAAATTGTGATCAGTTCCCACCGGGAATTCGAAAACGTGATCAGTTCCCATCGGGAATTCGAAAACGAGATCAGTTACAACCAGGAATTCGAAAACGTGACCAGTTACAACCAGGAATTCGAAAACGTGATCAGTTCCCACCAGGAATTCGAAAACGTGATCAGTTTCTATTGGGAATTTGAAAACGTGATCAGTTCCCACCGGGAATTCGAAAACGTAACCAATTACAACCAGGAATTAGAAAACGTGATCAGTTCCCACCGGGAATTCGAAAACGTGGTCAGTTGCAACCATGAATTCAAAAACGTGACCAGTTACAACCAGGAATTCGAAAACGTGATCAGTTCCCACCGGCAATTCGAAAACGTGACCAATTACAACCAGGAATTCAAAAACGTGATCAGTTCCCACAGGGAATTCGAAAACGTGATCAGTTACAACCAGGAATTAGAAAACGTGATCAGTTCCTATCGGGAATTCGAAAACGTGATCAGTTCCCACCGGGAATTCGAAAACGTAACCAATTACAACCAGGAATTAGAAAACGTGATCAGTTCCCACCGGGAATTCGAAAACGTGGTCAGTTGCAACCATGAATTCAAAAACGTGACCAGTTACAACCAGGAATTCAAAAACGTGATCAGTTCCCACCGGGAATTCGAAAACGCGACCAATTACAACCAGGAATTAGAAAACGTGATCAGATCCTATCGGGAATTAGAAAACGTGATCAGTTCCCATCGGGAATTAGAAAACGTGATCAGTTCCCATCGGGAATTCGAAAACGTGACCACTTCCTATCGGGAATTCGAAATCGTGATCAGTTCCCACCGGGAATTCGAAAACGTGATCAGTTCCCATCGAGAATTCGAAAACGAGATCAGTTACAACCAGGAATTCGAAAACGTGATCAGTTAAAACCAGGAATTTGAAAACGTGATCAGTTCGTACCGGGAATTCGAAAACGTGATCAGTTTCCATCGGGAATTCGAAAACGAGATCAGTTACAACCAGGAATTCGAAAACGTGACCAATTACAACCAGGAATTCGAAAACATGACCAGTTACAACCAGGAATTAGAAAACGTGATCAGTTCCCACCGAAAATTCGAAAACGCAACCAATTACAACCAGGAATTAGAAAACGTGATCAGATCCTATCGGGAATTAGAAAACGTGATCAGTTCCCATCGGGAATTAGAAAACGTGATCAGTTCCCATCGGGAATTCGAAAACGTGATCAGTTCCTATCGGGAATTCGAAATCGTGATCAGTTCCCACCGGGAATTCGAAAACGTGATCAGTTCCCATCGAGAATTCGAAAACGAGATCAGTTACAACCAGGAATTCGAAAACGTGACCAGTTACAACCAGGAATTCGAAAACGTGATCAGTTCCCACCAGGAATTCGAAAACGTGATCAGTTCCTATCGGGAATTCGAAAACGTGATCAGTTCCCACCGGGAATTCGAAAACGTAACCAATTACAACCAGGAATTAGAAAACGTGATCAGTTCCCACCGGGAATTAGAAAACGTGGTCAGTTGCAACCAGGAATTCAAAAACGTGACCAGTTCCAACCAGGAATTCGAAAACGTGATCAATTCCCGCCGGGAATTCGAAAACGTGACCAATTACAACCAGGAATTCAAAAACGTGACCAGTTCCCACAGGGAATTCGAAAACGTAATCAGTTACAACCAGGAATTAGAAAACGTGATCAGTTCCCACCGGAAATTCAAAAGCGTGATCAGTTACCACCGGGAATTCGAAAACGTGACCAGTTCCCACCGGGAATTCGAAAACGTAACCAATTACAACCAGAAATTAGAAAACGTGATCAGATCCTATCGGGAATTCGAAAACGTGTTCAGTTCCCATCGGGAATTCGAAAACGTGATCAGTTCCTATCGGGAATTCGAAAACGTGATCAGTTCCTATCGGGAATTCGAAAACGTGACCAATTACAACCAGGAATTAGAAAACACGATCAGTTCCCATCGGGAATTCGAAAACGTGATCAGTTCCTATCGGGAATTCGAAATCGTGATCAGTTCCCACCGGGAATTCAGAAAACGTGATCAGTTCCCATCGGGAATTCGAAAACGAGATCAGTTACAACCAGGAATTCGAAAACGTGACCAATTACAACCAGGAATTCGAAAACGTGATCAGTTCCCACCGGGAATTCGGAAAACGTGATCAGTTCCTATCGGGAATTCAGAAAACGTGATCAGTTCCCACCGGGAATTCGAAAACGTAACCAATTACAACCATGAATTAGAAAACGTGATCAGTTGCAACCATGAATTCAAAAACTTGACCAGTTACAACCAGGAATTCAAAACGTGATCAGTTCCCACAGGGAATTCGAAAACGTGATCAGTTACAACCAGGAATTAGAAAACGTGATCAATTCCCACCGGGAATTCGAAAACGTGATCAGTTCCCACCGAGAATTCGAAAACGTGATCAGTTACAACCAGGAATTCAAAAACGTGACCAGTTACAACCAGGAATTCAAAAACGTGATCAGTTCCCACCGGGAATTCGAAAACGCGACCAATTACAACCAGGAATTCGAAAACGTGATCAGTTCCTATC